TCATAGAATATTTCAAAGATATTATCATCAAAACTTGTATATTTTTATACATGCAATATCTTGGAAGTAAATCTTCGTATATCATAATTTCAGACGGAAATACAAAAATCACAAAAATAGATAAATAACAATAAAAGCTCCAAAAATTAATGAAACTTCTAAAAGTATACTTGCTTCACATTATATAAGTGCTAACTTATTGCTGAAACGCATCGCAAATGCTGGCAGACATGGGTAAGACCAAGACATTGGTTACGGGAGCTTTTGTTGTCATCCTTTTGGTTTTTCTTTCATGTGAGCACCCTCCTTCTCCTCTTTCTTCTTGTTTAATTTGTGATTATTAAAAAATTTTATGTTTCACATACAGTAATTTTTCTATACCTGTCACCATAAAGTATTGAGTAAAGTAACATTCAATACTTTAATTTTATTTATAATACTTTTAGCACCCGAAATCATTAATAAGATCAGCATTGCTGGTCAAAAAAAAAAGATCAGCATGTTGTGTGCACCACGAACACACCAAATAATATCAGGGCGGTTGTTACACTTGGAAACAATAAAAGCTCTAAATATTGTAAACAATCTTGTGAAATCCAATATACTGATCGATCCACAACATTTTCTTCAAATATATTATATACAATATATTATAAAGAAACTACCGGTTCTAGAAAATCATGTGGGAACTTGAAGGTAAATCTTAAATACAAAATCATGAAAAATAAAAAACAATAAATGCTCTGCATAATGCAAAGAATCTCATAAAATTCGATATGGATCCATGAGATTTGATTCTAGAAAATCAAGATTGAAAAACGTTTAGAACTACATCGATGTGAAATACACAATCAAAAAAGTAAAGTGACAATAAATGCTGAGAACATTTGGCTTTCAAGGAGCTTATCTTTATTTTTTTTAAAAAAAAATCGTTTCTTTCCAAATGTCTCTAATTAAAGTGATATTTTCTTAAAAAAAACATCGTATATTAAAGAATGTGGAAAACTCATTAAAAATTTTGATTGAACCATGTATTCACCTATAAATAGAAAACTCAGTAAGCTAAACGCATCACAAGTTGATGAAAAACATGGACCAAACTTTGGTTAAGGGAGTTTTTCTTCTCGTCCTCTTGTTTTCTGCTTCAGGTACGCAGTAAGAGAACCATTCAATTTCTCTTGTTTGTTGTGTTTGTGTAAAATTACATTCGTTAGAATTTTTCTTCCAATATCAATATGCTAATTTTGATTCTTAATATAAGATTCAGTTTATAGTGTACTAAATCTTATATTAAGGATCGTAGGTAACTATTACATATGAATAATCTACATATCACTTCATTTTACTATTATTCTTTCAGGTTCCACATAAAATTGCTAGTCTACTGCTATATTTTTTCCCCTTCTATTTATAATTTAGAGAGAGTACTTTTTGGTCCTTAATATAAATTACATCATTAAATTTAGTAAGGGGCAAACTTACCCATGAAGTATTCCACGAGATTAGAGCACTAGACATCATAAAATTTCCTTCTATAGGTACAAAAGTACACATTTTCAAAATGGTGCAAAAATGTCACAACCATTAAGTACTGATGTTGAGTGTTTGACAAACATGTTAACCAAAAAAATAATGTAAAAATTCACATAAAATTTTCAAACTGATCCAAAAATACACATGGAGCCTCCATGGTATTTTTTATCAAACTATGTATATTTTTGCACCATTTTCTTGACCTACATGTTTACTAAATGGTTAACATTATTTAACTTAATGGTCATGGCATTTATGCAACATTTTAAATTTATATATATCTTTACACCCAAGAAATTCTTATGGTGTTAGATGCCCAAGTTGGGTAGATTATTATTTTCTTGGACTTCTTACTAAAGTGTATAAATATATATATTAAATATGGATAAAGTTGTAAAATTGTTAACTTTTAACATATAGTTAATAAGATTTAAAGTTTTTTTTAAATTTTGATGAAACATGTTAGAAGATATTTATAAATAGAATCAAAGGAGTAATGATTTTTAAAATGACTGAATATTCTAACCAACCATTAATTTTCAAATTTAGGGCTTGAATGGTCTGCTTGGAATCTAGTCTAGCCCAATAGTCTAATCCAATCTGGTCTTCTATTCTTATGAGCTAATTCCCCCCCCCCCCCCCTATATCTAACTCAGTTAGGTTGCTCTCTCGAGATTAAATTGTAGCAATTCTATGCAAGTCTCATTACCTTCTTTAATTTATGTTTTATACAAATATATAAAGTTGATAAAAGGAAATCTCATATTTGCAGCTTTGGGGAATGGAATTGAAGATGGAGAAAGCAAGTTCCATTTACGATGCAGAGGTCCTGAGGATTGCCCTGGTTGTTGGTGCCTTAATCATGAATGCCAATGTGGCAATCCTCCTCAATCTCATCAAGAACATATTTCATCAAAGCCAAACAATGTCCCAAAACAGGAAATGATCCCTTGACTCTTCTTGTTTGGATTATAATTTCATGATGTTTATTACATAAAATAAATATGTTTTGGATTAGAAACAACAAATGGAATAAGAAAGCAAATTGTTATCCTTTTATTTAATGCAAATATTTATGGAATGTAATATCTTATAAATTAATTAGTTTTCCATAGTATGGTTATAATTAGACATGCACCTTTGATAACTCTTAATAATGACATATGGGAATTCAACGATCTCATTATTTTCACTAATTTTTGATAATAACTCTTTTTTTTTGGGAAAAATAGCTTTAACATAATTTCTAGCCCTGCCTTTAGCCATGAGAAATTAATATAGAGATTTCAATATTTTTCAGCTACCAATGTTCAAACTATTATTATTAGCGGATCATAAATGGTTGGAAATGCTACATATCATACATGAGGCGAAGTGATACTTTTTTATTTTTATTAAGAGAACCATTAGTATATTACAACATGTTTTAAATATTAATTTTTTTATATACATATTATCTCTAACTAATTATAAACTTCCTAACTACTTACTTGAGCTCCTCTAACTACTAAGTTTTATTGAGGGTACAAAAATAACTAACTAATTAAATTTAGTAATTTATATAAAATTTTTATTAAAATCTTATACACAGATCGAAGAGAATAATTAATAAGGAGTGATCAAGTTAACCAAATAACTAATAGGGAATGGTGAAGCTAGCCAAAGAAAGGCATGCTCAACTTACTAGCGATTTGCTACTTCATTCATTCCCCCCCCCCCCTCTTTTGATACAAGTGAAAGCAAGAAAGCATTAAGAAAACAGCAAAACAGCTGTCCTATTCCTTCGAGATCTAGAAATTTATGAACACTATCAAGGCCTAGGATAAGGAAACCCAGGTTATCATTCAGGGCTCTCTTTTCTAGTGCATCTGCCACGAGGTTATCATCTCTAGCAATAAGCTGGCACTCGAACTTCCACTTCCGTGAGATCATCCCTTTTATCTCCTCAATAAGAGACCAGTCCTCGTGCATCTCCGGGGTAGCATTCTTCAGCAGTTGAAAAACATCATATGAATCTGTCTTTAGTATTGCATCTCTGAAACCACAATCCCGTGCCCCTTCCATTCCAAAAAGGCAGCCCCATAGTTCCGCAGAGAGGGCATCACCTGCTTGCAAGCGAGAGACGAAGCCTTCAATAAATTTTCTATTATTATCCATCAGGACTCCCCCACACGCTGCCACGTTGCTCAGGTAGGGGAAAGCACCATCCACTTCTATAACATTACTGCCTTCTGTGACGGGATCGGGAGACACAGTCAGAGTCCTCCAGTTCTTCTCCAAGTTGACGCCGTTATGTTAGATATTTTATTATAATTATTATTTAGATATATATTAGGAAATTAATAAAATACTCTGAGTGTGGCCCTTTCAGTCAAACAAGGCCCAAGCCCAGTAGGGTTAAGCTTTTCAGTCCATATATGTGTTGATAACTCTCTGATGGTGAGACACACAACAATTGAGTTGACGGCTGAATATTCTAAAAGCGAGTGAAATACCTATCTGCTCTTTTGAGGTTCCCTGACTGGTGACGGCTAATCCAGTTGCCATCACTGTGCCCTATTCCAGTCAGAAGAGACCTGAACAACTCTTTTCTTCTAACTGTTGTTCTCTTTTGCAGCTCTATTCCCCTATCTCAGATCCCGAGATAATCAAGATAAGACAAATGGCAAGAGGTACACAAAGATTCTTCCGCTGTATTATTTTATAAGAAGATTCACATCTCTTTATTGTTTTATTTATTTGTATTGTGAATCTATCTTACACGTGGCATCAGAGCCAGGTTAGGTTCTTCTCTGCCTACTTTTATTTAATTTAATATGTTTTATCTTATCTGGGACGATCTAAGCTCCATATGGAATAAAAGAACATACTGTTGAATTTTCATCAGTTCCATGAGCAAGATCAGAGATACTTGTTTGCACCGTCTTTTATCTTCATTAGTTTCAAAGGCCAAATCGGAGAGCGTTATTATTTTCACCGTTTATTTTAAACAAATTTGGTTCTTGATTTTATTCCAGATTCGTATGTAATTCTCTCAAAAGGGTCAATTTTTATTTTACATTGCGGTTCCTTTTCGTTTTATAATTTGTTGTAAACTATTTTTCTATGTTTTAGAGGGGTATGTTTTCAGTCATTTGGAATGGAAGGAAGGAGAATATTTATCTCTCCGATGACCACCGTAATCCCCTCCATCGCTGGAAACTATGGCTGATGCGGCGGCTATGAGGGCTGCCGAACCGGGTCTCGAGCGGGTCTGGAATCAGGTTGACCTAACCCGATTCCATGAGGAAGGAGACCCAGCACCAGAAACGCTGCCGTTTTGGATTTGAGAAGGCTTCTCTGTTTGGTTCTAAAACGGCGTCGTTTCAGGCTTAAGTGAAACTCGCCGTTTCATTTACTCAGATTTGGGCCAGCTATTTTGGGCCGCGTTTCGGGCTTTATAAAAAAAAAAATTGTGTTTGGACCGAATGGGATTTCTGGGTTTGTAATCATTTTTTTTTTGAACTAGGCCGAGAAAGATTGGGTTTATGAGATTTTCTTTTTTTCTTCTCTTCTCTTGGTCTGGGCCTCTTTCTGTTTGGGCCTACTGTTTTATTAAAAAAAAAATCGCATAGAAATCAATTTTGGTCACTGTTTGGTTACTGGGCTTCTGTTTTGGGCCAGAACAATTATTTTGTTATTTAGAATGTTCCTTTTGGGCCTATTTTGATTAAACTCTGTTTAGCCCATTTATTATTATTTTCCAGAATCAGTTCATGTTAAATAAATAATTAATTGCAAGTTATTTATTTATTTGAAAATAGTTTTCACATGTAATTTAATTTTATGCAAATATTTGAATTGTTTAAATAAAGATAAAAGTTAACCTTAGCTATTTCATATCTTGTGTAAATTTGCAAAATTGTTTGTTGAAAAATTGTTTATTTGCCTAAATTTTTGGATACTAGATTTTGGGCAATTTGGTTATTTACTTGAATTTTGCAATGTTCATTTTTAGAAGAAATATGCTGAGGTTAATATTTAAACAATTATTTGGATGCATAAAAATAGTGGGAGAATTTAGTTCAGTTATTTACTTGTTGATTAAATTAATTGCTTAAATTCTCCATTGAGATGTGCATATACTGGACTTAAATGCACTTGTATGATATTTGTGATTAGCATGCTTCTTTAAGGAGTAGCCACAGCATCCTTTATCTATTGTATGCGATATAAATCACATAATAGACTTATAAAATATCAATTGTAATTAAATATGCATTCATGATTCATCTTTGCCCACAGGTAGATAATTATCAATGTATATTTAATTAGGGTGGGATAGAATTGCCTTGTATTTTCTGAGTAGCCCACAGGTATTAGGAAATATAAATGCGTTCTAGTTCCATCAATATGAGATAAATACATGCTATGCTAATTTCTTTGCCCACAGGGAGAACTTAGTGATACGTATTTATAATTGTATGCTTTATTAATGTTTTAAGCATACATGGCACAATTATTGTGAATTGTCTCTATTTATTTGGAAGTTTGACTGATTTTCTAATATTGCAGCTGCATTTACTATCCTTAACATAGTTGCTGATGCTAGTAACAAAATTATACTTGATGGTACTAACTACCCTGATTGGAGGGAAGACATTGCTTTACATCTCGGTTGTCTGAACATGGACTATGTCCTGGAAACTGAAAGGCCTCCCAAACTAGCTGATGGCTTGACTGACAAAGAGGCCAAAGAGTATTATGAATCCTGGGAGAAAAACAATCGCCTTACTCTCCTGCTGATCAAAACAAGGATTGCTAGGAGCATTCGGGGAGCAATCCCTAAATGCGAAACTGCTAAAGAATACCTAGAAGCTGTGGACAAACAGTTCAAACCGACAGACAAGCAGATGGGGCGCACCATTATGTCGGAATTATGTGCCATGAGGCTTACAGGTATAGGCGGTACTAGGTAGCATATAATGAAGATGAGAGATTTATCCTCTCAGTTGAAATCCTCCTTCGATATACGATTTGTGGAATCTAGGAATGCTAAGTTTCTTGAGAATGATGTGATTAGTGGGAGTGATCAGATAGGAATTGATCACATAGAAGAGACCACTAGCACAAATGGTGAGGGAACATCAATTGTCAATGACTCTTCTTTAGTTAGAGCTATCATACAACATGATGTGGATCCCATAACTCAAGTTGATGATGCTGGACATCAGGAACATATGCAAGCTGACCAACCTGTCACAGAAGTAGAACCACCACAGAATGTGACAGAGGATGTTCCTGATGAGCAACCTCAGCTGACCCAAGAAGTTGAACTGAGGAGGTCAACTAGAGAGAGAAAGCCGGCATTACCTAGTGACTACGTTGTGTACTTCACTGAAATTGACTGTAATGTTAGTATTGAAAATGATCCTTTGACCTTTACTCAAGCCATGAAGAATGAGAATTGCAAGTTGTGGCATGATGCCATGATCGAGGAAATGAACTCTATGGCAAACAACCAAGTATGGGAGCTTGTAGAGTTACCTAGTGGGTCTAAAGCCATTGGCTGTAAGTGGGTTTACAAAACCAAAAGAGACTCACAAGGTAACATTGATCGTTACAAAGCAAGGTTGGTTGCCAAGGGTTTTACGCAAGTGGAAGGAATCGACTACAGAGAAACATTTTCTCCTGTATCAAAGAAGGATTCATTCCGCATTATCATGGCATTAGTTGCACACTTTGATATGGAATTGCATCAAATGGATGTTAAAACTGCATTTCTCAATGGTGATCTTGACGAAGAGGTCTATATGAAGCAGCCTAAGGGATTCATTGCGAAAGGCAAAGAAAACTTGGTATGCAAGCTAAAGAAATCAATATATGGTTTAAAGCAAGCCTCACAACAGTGGTACTTGAAGTTCCATAAGGTGATCACATCATTTGGTTTCGATGAGAACATCATGGATGAATGCATATACCATAAGGTTAGTGGGAGCAATATCATATTTTTGATTTTATATGTCGATGACATATTACTTGCAACCAACGATCTAGGACTATTGCACGAGGTGAAACAGTTTCTGTTTAAGAACTTTGATATGAAAGATATGGGTGAGGCATCTTATGTCATTGGCATTAAGATCCATAGGGATAGGACTCAAGGTCTTTTAGGCCTATCTCAAGAAACCTATATAAACAAAGTTCTTGAACGATTCTAGATGAAGAACTGTTCAACCAACGTGACTCCTTTAGAGAAAGGAGACAAATTCAGTCTAGATCAGTGTCCTAAAACCGAGCTCAAGAAAAGGCAAATGGAAAGGATCCCATATGCCTCAGCAGTAGGAAGTTTAATGTATGCACAGGTTTGCACTAGACCTGATATAGCTTTTGCTGTGGGCATGCTGGGAAGGTACCAAAGTAATCCTGGTGAGGCCCATTGGACAGCTGCAAAGAAAGTGTTTAGATACCTACAAGGGACTAAACACTACATGCTTACATATAAGAGGACAGAGAATCTAGAAGTGACTAGTTACTCAGACTCTGATTTGGGAGGATGTTTGGACACAAATAAGTCTACGAATGGTTATATCTTCCTACTAGCAGAAGGAGCCATATCATGGAAGAGTACAAAACAAACTCTAACGGCTCCTTCTACTGGTGATGCTGAGTACATTGCATGTTTTGAGGCAAGTTCACAAGCAATCTGGATAAAGAATTTCATTGTTGGGCTTAAGATTGTTGATTCAATCTCTAGGCCAATCAGAATGTACTGTGATAACACCGCTGTAGTGGCCATAGCCAACAACAAGAGGAATAAGAGTCGAAGTAAGTTCGTTGAACTGAAATTCCTATGCTTGAAAGAAAGGGTTATGGATGGCCAAATTTCGGTTGAACACATCGGTACAAAGGAAATGCTAGCTGATCCTTTGACTAAAGGGTTGAAACCGAATGACTTTGTTTCATACGTACCTCACATGGGACTTCGTCCTCCAATTGATTAGTTGAGGTATGAGCAATGAAATTTATGGTTTGTCATATCTTGTTATGATTGTATATACATGTGTTTTTGAGGTTGATAAACATAAAGTAGGAACCGAACAAAATTGAATTTGTTCATAAAGGTATACCCATTAAGTAAGGATGCTGCCTGTGATGCATGGAAGATAATACCCGACTTGAGGGGACTTGTCGCCATGATTATTGCAGTATAGCCTTAGCTTACTGAGGCACGGCAATTGACATACGTATAAGGGCCAAGTGGGAGAATGTTAGATATTTTATTATAATTATTATTTAGATATATATTAGGAAATTAATAAAATACTCTGAGTGTGGCCCTTTCAGTCAAACAAGGCCTAAGCCCAGTAGGGTTAAGCTTTTCAGTCCATATATGTGTTGATAACTCTCTGATGGTGAGACACACAACAATTGAGTTGACGGCTGAATATTCTAAGAGTGAGTGAAATACCTATCTGCTCTTTTGAGGTTCCTTGACTGGTGACGGCTAATCCAGTTGCTATCACTGTGCCCTATTCCAGTCAGAAGAGACCTGAACAACTCTTTTCTTCTAACTGTTGTTCTCTTTTGCAGCTCTATTCCCCTATCTCAGATCCCGAGATAATCAAGATAAGACAAATGGCAAGAGGTACATAAAGATTCTTCCGCTGTATTATTTTATAAGAAGATTCACATCTCTTTATTGTTTTATTTATTTGTATTGTGAATCTGTCTTACACGTTAAGCTTGTGAGAAGCGTTATCCATGCAAAGATTATAAGAAATGTTTGACCAAATCACATGGATTAAAAAATTAATTAAAAATGATTAGAGATAATAAATATGTAAAGATTATAAATTTTCTTCTCAAAAATATTCTTATATATGAGGGGAGAGTATATGAGAGAATAAGAAAATTATTAGGATAAAGAGAATGATGCTTGAGAAAATGAGATAATAATTATATTGGGTCTTAAAATAAATAATGGGGGCACAATAGAAAAACAACCAAAAAAATTTGAAACATCTTATAAAAGTTTCTTATAAATAAAGAAAAGATAAAAATGACGGTTGTTCCTTATTAACTGGACGGTGGGAGTAGTTATTTGCATACCTTGCCCTGCTTCAACTTGTGTCTTGGTTAAATTAGTGTATGTGAAAATTTAAGGGATAATTAATCTCTAGGTCTTTATAGCTTCATCTGATTTTTAATTAGGTTCTTATAAATTTTTTTATTATAATAATTTCTTATTTATAGACTATTAGTATTCATAGATAAAGAACAAAAACTACAAAGACCTAATTAAAAATAAGATAAAATAATAAGGACCTGATTAAAAAAATTATAAGAACTTGATTAAAAACATGTGAAATTATAAAGATATGATAAAAAGAAAAAAATTACAGGGACCTGCTTAAAAACTGATTGAAACTATAAGAACTTGCATATTAATTATCCCAAAATTTAATCATCAACTGGATTGTTGGTACGAAGTCTTTGTGAAAATGATTCTCTGGTAATTATTTTATCATATGATACGATGAATGCACTTGTGAAATCACAAAATTAATCGAATTTGAGCCTATGAAGTTGTTTTTTTCTTTTGTGGGCTTAGTCCAAAAAACATTACAAATAAAATTATCGAAGTTATCCATGTCATTTAACAAATGAAACATTTTTATTTTTGCCAAACACAAAGCCCCTATAAGGATACAGAGTACTTCCCGTTGTTATTATAAGCTATCATTAAAACTCGTATTTTTTATACATGCAATTTTGGAAGAGTAAATCTCCATAATAATTTCAGAAGAAAATAACAAAAATAAATAAATAACAATAAAAGCTCTGAAAATTAATGAAACTTCTGAAACTATACTTGCTTCCCGTGTGAGCGCGCGCAAGCCAAGTGCTACGCAAAAGCGTTGAAAAATCTGGCAAATATGTGCATTCATGTTCTTTTTTTGTTGGCCAACGATGTGCATTCATGTTCACGCCTTAATTCCTTTTTTTCCCCTCCATGACCATGGTTATTAAAATGCTTAATTAGAATAATATTAAAATATATACTCCTTGGGTCCTTAATATAGACTTAATTATTGAGTTAATCTTGATCTTAAAATAAGACCTATTTCTTATGTTTATTAATTTTTCTTAAATTATCCCTATTGTTACTCCCTTAATAATATTCAAATAAGAGAGGGAGCAAAAATATATTAAAAAAGATGATAATAATATTTTAAGAAAAATATGTCATATTTCTCATAATTAACTAATTTACCTAACTTCCTTAATCTAATCAAAATAATTAAATTAGTCTCACATTAAGGACCAGACGATTAACATATTAAAAAGTAACAACTGGTTTTAGAAAATACGTTTGAAGTAAATCTTCATATAATTATTTCGATGGGGAATGCATTAAGCAGTTGCCAAAAACACACAATCCCTGTCTTTGTTTAGAAAGTTTTATGTTCATCCCAATTCTTTTTTTAATTAAATCAGGTATTTTCAAAAAGATCCTTTATTAAGAGATGCGAAAAGCTTATTGGTATTTTCAAAAAGATCATTTATTAAGAGATGCGAAAAGCTTATTATATAGGGGTATTTCTTCTATAAAGATCTTTTAAAGAATGATAAAATTCTGAACCAGGAATTACAAAAAAGGACAATGACTTAGAAAAATTATTTTATTTTTTAGAGACGAAGGGAATACTAAATAGCTTCACCAATATATAAAAAAGAACTCAGTGTGCAAGCGCATTAGAAGTTGACAAAATATGGACAAAAGGCTTTGGTTAAGGGAGCTTTTCTTTTCGTGCTTGTTTTTCCCCCGTTACTTCAGGTGAGAGCACCTTTGCTTCAATATCTGTTTGTTGTGTTTGGGTAAAATTACATTTATTAGGATTTTTCTACCAACTTAGATGTCTATGTTTGTTTTACTATTGTTCACTCTACCTTTTTTTTTTTTTAATTAGAAAGA